CCGCGTGGAAGTGTACTAACCGTTCCTCTTTTAGAAATACCAAGGAAAGAAACCAGCCAGGGGAAGGGCCACTGGCAGACCAAGAGGAGGTCATAAATAAACTATCACTAATAGACCCGTTTGCCCAGTAAACTTTTAAACGCATTGGCTATCAAGAATGAGCTTTTGCAGAAACGCGCCTTCTTGACTTGCAACTATTTAAGACATTGTTTAGCATGGACGAACGAACGGACGAACACTTATCGTCCGTTCTGTTCTAATTGAGCTCTCATCAACAGTGGCTATTAATGCGTACAATTTAAATATTCAATCTTTCATTTCTATTTACTTTTACTTATACTTACTTGTTTACTTTATAAAATTTTATTAGCTCATTTCACCTTCTCATATTACTTCATGTCAATGTTTGTTTCTGCGATGTTTTATTATTTTCGCTTCGTTATGGATGGAACGGAAAGTATTTACAAGAAGGACGGCCTTTTTCTGTTTAAACGCGCGCCTTCCCAGCTCTAAACTACAGTATGCCTGAAGGATGTGCACGTTCGACGGAATGCAGGTTGAAAGGTACAGTATAGCGATACGGTAGAGCGAGACAGAGAGAGAGGAGAGACCAGTCAGATAGCTGAAGGTTGACGTGTGCGTGGTATCGATTTACTTAGCTGTGGTCTGGAACAATAAAGCTGTAAGCGAAGGTGTTTTGGCTTCTTACAGTATAACAGCCCGCTACAATATTATAAATAATAACTTCAGTTTTACCAACATAAGAGTCCACGTTTTGTGGGTGAACTATTTTCTTCTGAGACGTGCCTATTGCCGGACAAGAAAGAGAGGTATTAATCAAATCGAAACTGACACATTTTGAATTGTTGCTATCGCGTGTCAACCTTGACAGCCAACACGACAATGACAACTGCTTGAGAAAGGTGACGTCACAACTCTGGAGCACTATCAACCTAAGCAAAAGAAGAAGTTTCGGTGGACTGTCAAACTAACAGTTGACAGAAGAGGGGCCATGGAAAAGAAAGTCGAAATAAAGAAACGAGCTGCATAGCATACGGCAGTCGCGGAAACCTAATAAAATGAAATAGCCTGCACATTTAAGAGTGCGACTCGTACGCGATTTGTCTAAGGGCAAATACGGCACTTCTGAGACAAACAAACCACGTTTCGAAGATAACCTATCGATTGACGGGTCAGAGAAGTTAGTCACTATGTGACGAAAAGAGTCGATGATGGAAAGTTGCAAGCGGATGCAGTTCAAGTGCGCGTCTTGGCACCGCTCTTCCACCAAACTGACAATGGCAGTGAATCACACAATGTTATGCGCACTGCTGGTCACTGCTTTGACTTCAATATGTTCAGGTATAGCATCACATGAACGAAGGAAGGAATTCAACTAAGAAAACATCCTTTCAGGCTCAAGAAGTCAATCGGAATGTGCAGGCCGTTTAAGCGAAAAGCTTTCTCGCAAATTCAACCTGAAGAGTCGAACAGATTTCAAAGATATACACGCTAGCTCTTGGAAAACCATTGTCAACTTCGAAGGCTTGATTACGTTTGACATTTATGCTAATCGAGATGACCTTCTCTTAGCGAAGATATCATCGGAACAGGTAAGCAAGCCGAACTGCCAGACAATTAACCTAACAGGACAACATGCACAGCTGACAGCCGGTTGTACACCGGTTGAATTCTGCGGCGGAGAAAAGAAGGAGCTCCTTTTGGTCTCACAAAACTCATCCAGCTATATGCTGCGTCAACTGGCAAATGAAAGTGACAAATTGGGGTGGTCGTTAGAAGTGGCTCTGACTCAAACATTTGTACCCTACGTTAATAAAGAAACGGTAACGTTTTCAGTTTTAGCTTCCTTACGTCATTTACCCTTCATTCGATGTCTTAGTATAAATTATAAAACCAGCCGCTGCGTGCGTAACCAGTTTGAATGTTATAGTGGCATACGAACGGAATGGAAATAATAGAAACAAAAGACAAAGCAACTTTTACACGCCACGTCATTCATCGTCATTTTTCTCAGAATGCTTACAAGTCGAAAGTAAGCGTTCAAAATTGAAACCTTTACTCCTGAGAAAGCGCGCCTCACATTTAAAGGGGTTATCCGTTTCACCCGGTTTTACGTCAACACTATCATGCGCGTATTCGGGAGGAAGCGTACCGTCTATGAGCCTAATGGAATTGTTCAACCTTGCACTGCCCATTTCCAAACAAGGACTGGCCAAAGTTCGAAATGAGTAAGTCGGTTAAGAATTGAAAACTTAGAACAGATTACGGGAATCGCCCCTGATAGGCTAAGCTCAGTCTTTGAACTTTTCGTCCTTACAGCTTTCAGTAGTAACGCCTTAATTCTTCAGGCTGATCTTAATGGAACGGATAAACTAAATAAGTTTTAGGATAACACTGCATCTAATCAAAGAAGAAGTTATGAAAACTCGGGAATGTAAAAGCGACGATATAAACGAATTAGTCAACTGTTACACCGAACGTGAGTTACATTCTTTGTATATGCATGTTCTTGATGAGACTTCTTCAGGCAAATGGAAACCGGATTCAGTTAACCTTGAATCTCTTATGCTGGAAACGATCACCCGCTCGTCATCGATCAACGTTGAAACGCCAACAAATAAGGCAAACGCTTAGTATGTAGAAACTTGCCCTTATTACTGGACTCGGTTTTGCAGAATCTATCCTGCGAAGTCATGTTAAGTCAGCTTGAAAACAGTGTGGACAAAATATGGCAAAGAATGGAAATATTTGTAAAACTGCGCCAACAACTTGAACGCATGAGCGAATTTGACATTGCCAATCTTCTCGGCACGTGCGCACCGCTAAGCTCGGAGTAAGTATTCATGGGAACGTACTATTAACTTTAAAATTCAACTTTAAAAACGTAGCTCTTTGTAATGGGATGGCAGTACTTCATGGATATGTGTATCCTTATGTTAGGGAGCTCAACGTGAGCACATTAAACTCGTCAAACTTTAAACTGACAAGCTCTGAGCTTCAAATTGGAGTTTGATGCTCAGGATCAGAGTTTAAAGCGAGAAATTCTGATTTCCAACTGGAAACAAGATACTCAGTCTAAAAAGTGAGCACTTTAAACTCCTGACGCTTCAGAGCAAGAAGTTTAAGGTAGCAAAGGCTGAGCTTAAAGTGCAAATTTGATGCTCAGGTTCTCAGAGTTTAAACTGAGCACTTTAAACTCATGAAAGCTTAAGCAAGCGTTTGCACATTCTGAGTTTAAAGTGACAACGTGATCCTCAGGTTCACACAGTTTAAAGCAGAAACAAGATGCTCAGGATCTGAAAGTTTAAAGCGAAATTGATGCTCAGGTTCTCAGGGTTCAAATTGAGCACTATAAACTCGTCAAATTGCATGATGTATTAGTACGGAGGTTGTCCCGTGTAACGTACAAAACTTTTATTGTTTAACCGTAGCTTTCGAGTGTCCCCTTCACTCGTCGTCAGCGGTGACTTCTTATAGACAAATTTGAGGTATAACGTCTATGTTTGAGCATTGTAAAGTCTGTATATTAAAGTAGTGATT